TTCTAAGTAGGCCACCTATTTCTCATAAAAATGTAATAAGTTAGAATTTCGTTTAAGGGGATCCCATGCTCTTCGTGTTATATGTTATCTATTGTTTTTTTCTGCTACTCAGTGCACTTTTTACCGGTCTTAATCTGTCACTAATGTCATTGGATATTGAAGACCTTCGAGTAAGCCGGCACTAATCAACTAAATTCGACACGATATTTTTATTTTTACTAAAAATGGTGGTGAGAGGACGAAAGGAACACGCTGTGCATTTAACTCCATTGGTAGCAACGTAAACGTGATCGAGTGAATATTTGGCCTAGACAATGTCAAGTGAATACCAATCCATTTCTCAAATAAGTGTTTTTTCACCATTTGAGATGATTGTAGCACCTGATAATCATTTTTTTTAACCACGCATGTCAGTGGTCTGTCAAGGAGGGCTAACTTATAGAGCCCGATACATGTGTTTCGATCTTGCAATCTCGTCAGTCGGGCAGTTGCCCTTTCTCGTCTTTTGCTAGTCTCTGTGGGTGCTCCAGTGCCCACACTAAGAGTTAGCAACGACGAACATGTTACACTCTATGTCCAGTAAAAATCTCACCGAACATAGAGTGTTGTACTCTCGATTGCTCTTGGCTGGTATATTCAAAATATCATATCTTTCGATCAATATCCCTGACAATCATTTTTGAGCCACGCATGTCAATCGTCGCTAACTCTTGATGCGAAGACTGGAGCACTTACAGAGATTAGCAAAAGACGAGAAAGGGTAACTGCCCGACTGACGAGATCGCAAGATCGAAACACATGTATCGGGCTCTATAAGTCAACCCTCATTGACAGACCACTAACATGCGTGGCTCAAATAATGATTACCAGGCATATTGAAATTTGGGCTGTGGTCTTAAGAAAAACACTCGAATCGAAAGATTCTAGCACCAATTCCTTGACCCCACAAGGATTGCTTAGCACGCAGCACGAGATTAAACCAGCGATTGCGTGTCTCAGGGCCTTTCTGATCATTGCAGTACACTCTTCAATAATGCTGATTATCAGTTTTGTAAGCCAACATGGTGCAGTAGTATATGCGTTTCATCTCCTTCAGATCAATGAACTGGGTACCTGATCTGTTAGAATTATAACTAACATAGACGTTCTTCTTTTTATCCTTTTATTAGCGTGGTGCAAAAGAATGGCAATTCCTAGCCGTGAATTTTCAAATCATCATAGCTAAGCTCAGACAAATCTCTATTTGATAAGAGCCATTACAATTAATACACATTTACCAAGTTTATTACTGTGACCTAAAAGTCAGTGCCTAGGGGTTTGACGAACTCTTGGAAAGCATTTTCTGCGTCCTGCTGGCTGTGGGCTGCCTGCTTTTCTTTTGCAAGAAGTTGTCGAGATGCTCGGAATTAAGGTGATTATTGAGCGCGAGGTTCGGCGAATATGGAGAATGAGGCAGAACTTTGCAGCCAATTCGCTCAACTTTTGAAGCGCTCGTTTTGCGACACGTGGCTGCCAGCTGGCTTTTACATTTGCAGTAAATTTTTTCAACTTTTCGTACTGTTTCAAATGCCAAACCACCGTATATTGGTCGACGTTGAGTCTTTTTACAACATCTCGTTTAATATTAAGAGTATCAATTCGAGGACTGTTCTCAGTACGTCATTGTCAACTTCGCCTGGCTGGCCACTACGCCCCTCGCCTTCAAGACTCTTGTCTTCTTTACGAAATTCCTTAAGTCACTACTGCACTGTGGGTTTCGATAGAAGTTCCTGAGTTTAATGGTTGTTGATGTTGCAAATTGCATCTGCTGCTTTACGATCTATTCTAAATCTACGGTTGTGATAGAGTAATCACTGTTAAGCTAACCTACCACCTTTACATGGCTGAAATAATAGACTACGGTAAAAGTTTCTTGATACCCGTTGAAAATTTAAAGTTTATACACATAATTCAAAGTAGAAGAGAACAATAATTATTCATCAAGTTAGAGTCATCATTAGTCACGATCTCTAACGTTCTGCAAGCTTCAGAATCTGCTTTAAATCGCCATTGCTTGAACATTGAATTAAAGACTCGTGACATCCCTCTTCAACTTGATCAAATGTCTCGTGTCCGCGTCCACGGAGGAAATGCTCCACTGAGCGGAACTGGAACATAATCGGACGACGCAGCATCTGGACTGTAGGCTGGGTGCGACAAGACCGTGACTCTCTCCAATTCATCAAACTTTTCCTTCGTCTTCTTTGCGGTGTGAGGTTTGGCATTGTTTTGCAGAAACAGCGCGCGCTTTCAGCGAGTCAATGTCGGGTGCTCCTCCTTCGACGGATCGTAGACTCTGTCCAACTGCTCAGTAGGGATCGGCTTTGACGGTCATAAATAGTAAATTCTGAGACATTCCCATGAATCTCCAATGACCAATACTGTGTGAAACAGACATAAAATTTGAATTGCTTGTGGGTGTTATGAAATTTTTCTTCAACTTAGTGTAGAAAAACAGAAACTGAAATGTCACTAGCATCAAAAAACTGAGCAAAAACTATGCATTGAAGTGATATACAACATAACCACATTAATATGAGAATTTATTCCAATATCCAACAGTAGATCTCAACAATGTGTGAACCGCTATTATTTTTGCACCAATCCAGTAGCATTCTTTATAATAGCGCAACTGCTATGATCTACTACGAAATTCATCGCTAGCTGATACGTATTAATCTTCACGCATCCCGATGTCAGCTATATAGCGTCTTCTCACAAAAAGCGGCATGGGCCCTCCCAAAAACGTAGCACCTTCAGCTTTATAACGACGAATAACTTCGTGAGCTCGTCTTCTGAGTCACTGTCCGTCCCTGAAATAAGCATTTGACCTCGCTCTTTAATTTCATCCCCTTTTTGGGTATTATCACGATACTATCTCTATGATTAATGAGTAAATAAATCAAAAGTATTACGGTGCATGCCTAAATGTGTTATGACGCACGAGCAAAAGGCGCGATGGATTGAATGGATACGTGCAGCGCAATAGCTAGATGTCCTGGTCGTGGATTCGATCCTGAGTCCAATGCTCACGAAGTTCTCCGTTCCTCTGGTATCTGCAAATTCACAGCAATGTTGTCTGTGAGGATAGCAGCACTAACTTGATAGACGGGTAGGCCACCGCGAGTCACTCTAAAGGCCAGACATGCAATTCGATCACGTTTAAGTTCGCGTCACTAGGTTGAATGCATGACGCTTGCTCAAAAGAATTGTCGAAGCCGAGAGCTTAATCCTTTAGTTTTTATTGTATATAAGCGAGACCAAGAGGCCTCCTACTTTGTCTAGAGCTTTTTTTTCATTTCTGTGATTTTAGCGGATCAAAGAATACGATGAGGATCCCAAGACTAGACGATACGCAGCTAATATTATTCCAATACGGGAAAATGGAAACTTTATTTTGTGTACAATTTTACTTGGTTTGTCAACTTTTGCAATGCTTTTCCACTTTTTGACTCTTCAAAAATTTACAGATTTTTGAGTAATAGACAATTTTTCTGCCCTTATGATAACTAATTATGAAATGGAAATATGCTGGAAACTAAAAGTTGAAATTTTGTCAACTCAATTGCATTATGATCTGATCGGTAATCTGGGTACTTTTTTACGTATAATTGTCAAAAACTCCAAAAATATCGACCAGGATTTGAATCGCTTAATCGCTAGCTGTTCATTTTCAATGACAGGAACAGTAGAGGGAGAAAGCCGACTGGTTTTCCCTTTTGCGATTATTCTTCCTATTTATTTATACAAATCACATATCATGTGATTTCCAAGATTTCTTTCATCTGATTCGCTGTCTCACGTCAGTCATCAACAGATGTTTTTGGGGTGGTGTAAGATTTTGGCGACGCTTGTGGGCACTTCATATGTCGTTGAGCCTTGGTTTAGTTCATTCTCTTTCAAATCACGAGATATCTCTGCTGGAGAGTCCTCAAGTCATCGCCACAGACACTCACCGGCATTTGCGGGTCGGAGGTGCTTTCCACACACAAATCTGGTATCAAAATTTCGACCTCGGGATATGGGTGCTTCTTCGGTCAGAGTGATTAGAGTGAGACGGAGTGGACAATCATTTGTGTATGGAATATCGTCTCAAATCACTATGCTGCATTTATGAAGTAACTAGTGCGGTACATCATCATTGGACATGTGTGGGCAATGGTGCAATCTGATTCTGCATCTCACGTTATTTTTGCTTTTTGCTGACCAATATTTGTTTCTCTTCTAAAAGACATTACAATGCCGTGTCCAACAGGCGTCGCCTATTCTGATGCGAAAAAAAAACTGGTTTATGGGTGACTTTCAGTATCGCCGAGAATCCTGCCCTCGGATCATGCTTAATCAAGTTTTCTCCTCTGGTAGATACCAAGCCCTCTTCCGTTTTGTGTGATCAGGGCAGAATATATGACTCCTAGCAGACTGGTTCTGGGCCACTGCTCCCGAAGCAAACTCTAGGTTAGGTGACAAAATCCCTGCTGGTGAATGATTTTTTGAAAAAAAAAAGTATCAACAATTGGTACATTTTACATAAAGTAGTTCAAGCAATATTTTCCCGTGTAACGGTGTGAGTAGGTTGTAAATCTAAAGTGTTTTAAATCCAAATTTTATGGTCATCGAGCCAAAAAGTTAATATTTACTAGCACCACGAATATATGCTTTGTGGTAAGCAGTTTGCTGCGTTCTTATTGTTTCTGTATATTTGTTTTAGGTAACAATATCTGCAACATAATTTGTGTGTTGACGTTCGATCAGATGTTTTCCAACTTAATATGACACAATTCCAAAGAATCCTCTTTATCAACATCGTTCCGTCAATGTTTACCGTCACATTCGCTGAAGTAATTCCACAAGTGATCTTCACAAAGTTTGTTTTTATGCTATCTTGTTATTACCAGCAAAAATATCAAAAAAACTATATCATACTCATTTTCCTACGAGAACTGAGTGGTCAGCAAAAACAATGCCTCAGGCGGAAATCGAACCCGCGTTTCATCCTAGAAGGACGCGTGCTCTACCGCTACACGACGGAGGCCCTTATGCCTAACCACTCATTTTCAACATCTCTATGTTATCTGTCAGCCATCAACCTATGACAGGTCTGATCTGGTATGCGATTTTGCTTCATAAGCCCAGTTGAGACGACAGCCATCGTGATAAGTAATAATCCAAATTTCTAATGCTTGTTGAAGAATAAATGGTTGGGCAAATGTGCCTCGGTGGTGTAGTGGTGGAGCACGCGTTCCCGGATAGGATGAAACGCGGATTCGATTCCCAGCTGAGGCCATGTTTTTGCTCACCACTCAATTCTCTTAGGAAACTATGAAATATCATAACACTGCAAGAAAAGTCAGTAAAAAACAATAGAGATTTGGATTATTACTAAACACACTTATTTCTTGCTCTGTTTGCCCTCGTGCATAAATAATAATACAGTGAGCTGAGGACATAGTCCGTGCGGCGTTCGATTGCACGAGTTTTCGCTCAGCTTCGCAGCCACTGTAATTCAACTTTGATTTACGATTGATTACTAAGTATTTAGATGATTATTATCATGGTCTGGTTGCATAGATGATCTTCAGGACTTAAATATTTCTTCCAGTAAACTTCAAATACTATTATCTTTCGACTGTTTACATAGACGCCGCTCAAAAACAATATTAATCTGATAATCTGATAACATCTTTTGACCTTTTTTTACTACTGATGGGCCTGGGAAAGCGAAGGAACTGTCCATTACTGTATGAGTGCCATATCACACTTCAAAGTAGGCTCTAAACATGTTGTTAAATTATTATTATTATTGTCTTTGAGCGAGGTCTTTATATACAGCCGAAAGTAAAAGTATGATTCAATCTAACAGCCATAAGTGCTCTAGCATGGTTACTGCAATGTCGGGCGACTTTATCACTCGACATGCGGTGATTCAAATGATTTGGTGTCGATTCCTTCATAGCTAGGGATATAATCTCCTGCATAAATCGGTTGAACCAAAAGACACCGACTACTGGTGAACCTGGAAAGGTGAAACACCTGTCTAGTACCGTATAAGTGCCATACCACACCTCAAAAGTAGCTCAAACATACTATCACATTATCAGACTATTATATCAGTTCTACTTAAGATACCTATTCATGTACTGGAATCTTTCACACAACATATCCAGTCATCCAAGAATGCTGAGTGATATCCAAAACTTCGAACCTCAGGCGGTAGTTGTACACACGTTTCACAAATATCAGGGACTTGTGCTACCACTACATCACCGAAATGTTGCTTTGTTACCACTTTTCTACAACAAGGGATATTGGAACTAAACTGAGCCGATTTGTAGTCCCCACGGAAAACCAGGTGCCGGCTGGTTGCTGATAGTTTTGATGCCTTAGGTTGCAGAAGCAATTATATCAGAGCAGCGGTTTGGGTGATGTAGTGGTAGCACACAATCGCAATATGGGTGAAACGCGAGTTCGACTCCTCCTTGAATTTTCAAGTTCCCTTTAACACTCAGCATTCTTGAAGATATGATATTGTCATTATAACGCTGCTACAAATACAATGAAATGAGTAATTCTCGTAGATTGTGTATCCAATAGTTGCTAGCTAGCAAGATCGATACCAATACGTGTTTACAACAAGTCCACTGCCGGTAGGTTGAAGACAGCTTCGATAGCTTATATCAAAGAAAAGTGATAGCATTGCATGAACCTCCGTGGTGAAGGGCTAGCACACGGCCGCGGTATGGCTACGACACAGGTCCAACTCTTGCTTGCTCTTAGGATTTGTAGGTCGCTCAGTATTCTTGAATTTATAGTTATAACATTGTTACTCTTCTATTATAGCAGTGTAATAAAAAATTCATTCTGTTCGAATGTTTTTGAAACCTCGCTTAAAATCCATTATATTCTGATAACATATTTTGAACCTTTCAGATGTCTGTCATGGCACTTGTAGTGCTAGACGTATGTTTCGTCTTTTTAGCAAGCCTCACCAGTAGCACATGGCTTTCGGTTCAGCCGTTCTCCTATAGTTAAGGGTAGCGGCGCCGAACATGTGCCAGTACTAGTCAAGTGAAAAAGATTACTTGATATAGCGGTGATTCAGTTTTACCTCTGAAACCTCTGAAAGGTTTTAAAAAGCTACCACATCATAAAACATTTCTGTAAATTACTGGGTACTCAGCTGTAAGATATTATTCGACACGAGAACATTTTAGATTTGCTCTGTCAATGGGGAGTCGGTTTCGGTACTTGATGGTGTTCTTTATTGTGCTCACATTCCCAGCCAGCTATCCCCTAGCAAAACTTCTCGATGTGATTGTTGGTCAAGGTAAAACTTTCGTTTACTGCAACACTTCTATGCGTTTTTTTTTTGCTTTTTTGATGTTGCAGCCATATGCTGAAAGGTTGATGATAGGTAATGCGAAAGTTCTATAACTCCAGTAAGCGTGAACACCGACTTGATCAAACGCCGCTACAATTTTTCATCAAATTTTCTACTCCTCTGAAGTCTCCAAATTGTACCAGACTTTTGTTAGCGGATGTAGGCCACCAAAAGCCATTGTGTAGCTCAGATATGCATTCAGCCATTTCTAACAATGATTGATAGAGATTAATGTATAGGCATCCCTCGGAGGTCTCAAAGCGGACACTTTATCCTTTGATGCTTTCATTCAAATGACTTATTGCAACGCACATATATCTCTTTAGCAATTTCTTCTTCCATAATTCTCGCTGTCTTGCAAGCGTCATCCATCAAGATAGGCAAGTTCACAAGATTCATACCGTGTCATTGGCGCGAAATCGCAATGTGCATCAAAATTAGTTCCTATTTAGTGATCAAAATTGATTAAGAGAAAGCGAATCATTTCCTGAAATCGTCATTTGAATGTTAGATTTACAAAGTTGGAAAAAGGCTTGAAAAGGATAAAAATTGCATAATCGGCGTTGAGGACATGGACGCCATGCACATTGGAGTTTCCATATGGCCAATGAATCAAAACATCAGTACCATGATAAACATGTCATAAATAATCTGTATGTTCTGTGATCGTACTTCTCTTTGTAAAAAAGCTTAGAAGATTTCGTTCTCTCAAAGTTTACGAACAGCATAATAATTCTATCTAAGCTATTATTTACCTTCCTCTGCCTTTATCAAAGAGAGAATAACTCTTGGCTCTCGCGGCTCCGCTGAACAATGATGGATTCATTCACAGAAAGCTCGTCTGGTACTTTGAGAATAGCTCTGCCTCATCTTCATTGGTGACGGCATCTTACCATCACTCAACTTACTCTCCAGCCTTCTTAGCTTGTGGATAAGTCTCCATGATGTTTGTATAGTTTTTCAAGTTATTTTTCTGGATCTATTATGTAGCTCCGCGAGACATTCATGAGATAATCATACAATGAAAGGAGCTCATCACAAACTCGCGAAAAGAACTGCGTCAGACATATGAATGTTAAGCCTTCGTTGAGGCTTCAGCTCAACCGGATGGGTGACATGATTGCGGCTCAGACAACCCATGTTTACTCATAGATGGATACGAGCCTGGATCACGAAACTACGACTTCATTCTGATAAAATTTAAATAGGATAAACTAGATTTTTTTTTGAAATTCATGAGATTTCCTTTCAGAGTGTAAATTTTCATTTTTCTACAATGCCACTATCTTAAGTAATGAAGTATTCTGGAATTCTCAAACAGTACTTTGTCTTATGTAAAAATACTTGAAATCCTCCTAAGTTTTTTTTCTAAATATGGGTTTATAAAGCGAAATCGCATATCCGAACAAACCTGTTAAAGGTTGGTGGCTGATAGCTAACATAGAGATTTGAAAAACGAGTGGTTGGTGCAAGTGCCTTGGTAGTATATCGGTAGAGCACGCGCCTCTGGATAGGATGAAACGCGGGTTTGATTCCCGCCTGAAGCCATGTTTTTGCTCACCACTCAATTCTCTTAGGTGCATGAGAAACATTGCACCACTGCGGAAAAAATGCAGTCAAAACATTGTAACTTTCGAGTATCCCCTTGAATTACAAATAAAGTGATTTCTTTAGTCAGAAAATGGAGTCAGCTAAAATCTTCACAGTTGATTCCCTCACTTCTGGACTCGGGGACAAATGTATCACCGTGATCTTCAACTCTATTTGAATTTAGTTGGTATCCCCTTACCACGTGTTAGTAGACTGTAGCTAAGCATTTCTGAGTGGATAAAACACTTGATTTTTTGAATTAATAGGAGCTGAAACTCAGTGTAGATGCTAATTATGTATTGTCCCTTTACAATGCGAAATAGAGTGAATTGAATCACACATTCCTACTGTATTAATCAACACCAAGTCCTCCTTTATCATTTCATGTCAAAATTAAAGTGATCACTAAATTTTATGAGTGTCTAAAGCTCCACATAGACAAATTCAGGCGTAGGAAAGACTGTGATAGAGTGGCGAAAAACTTAAGGATATTATAGAGATGAGGACGACGATGGATAAGCGAATTCTGGGTGGTTTGATACGTCAGCAGAAATATGAGAATGAGAACATAGCCGAAGTTGTGGAGAACGCGATGAACCTCCAAGTAAGGCGAGTGCGAGACATCATGACACCAGTGGAAAAAGTCAGTTTCTGTAAATGCCACGAATTTACGACAATCAGATCTAGAAGGGCTCGTAACAATACACATAAGTGATTTACAATGAGAACAAGTGATTACCAGACCTATGGGTGAACGTCCTTCTTTTTTCAAGAATTTTGAGCAACAAACTTCACAGTTGTGAGACTTCCTGAGGACGTGCAGAGAGTGGAAAAGAAAAAATGCATTTTAAGACATTCCTTGCTAACTCGCCGTTACAAAACTGGAAACTAAAATCCTGTGGAAAGTTGATAAACCAAAAGCGCCACTGTCCCATACCAATAAAATCACTGAAAACATGTCTGGGGACTTCTTTTTACATTCGCGAGCGAATCAGTGAAATCGAAATTCTTTTTAGGTGATATGAATTAACAAAACATCCATCAATTAAATGTTAATTGAATGTTAATCGAGTTTAAGGTGTTTATGATATCCGATAAAACAGAAGTGAATTCAAACCTAAAGGAAGAGCTGAAAGCAAATCGGCATACAAGAATCCCTGTCTTCAAAGGAGATGATCGAAACTGCGTGAGTCCATTCACCGTTGTATACGAATGAGTATAATTACATTAAATCGCTATCTTTTGATATTATTTAGTTTATTATTTGACTTAGGTCGTTTGTAGCGTAGTACTCAGAGATGCTCTAAAATAGACATTTAGTCATCGATTCAATCCCTAACTCCAGATAAACCATAACGTCTACGCCTTCGAAGAATGCATGTTGGCGCAAAACTTGATAGAGGAAACTAAGCCAATGATTAAACATACATATATTTCTTGCAACTCATATATAAAACAACTTGGAATCAGCAACTCTATAACGTTTAAAAGAATTGGACCGATGACGCAACCTTAAGACGTTGATCGAGTCGAGGCGCTTTATACCTTATCTTTTGCCCAAATGCTTGTATAGCTTGTTTTGAATTATTTGATTTGTTAGCTTCATTTATGATCGTTGTACGTAAAAATGTTACTTTATATCTATAAGTATCACTCCATAATTCAAAAAGACTTGCAAGCCACGAAGTCAGGCGGATTTATCTGAGTTATAAAGACGTCGCTTTAGAGGACTTTCACATCCCCTCAAATTCTAGTGCACTGTTTTTTTTTTTTATCCTTTTATTGCCAACTTTTCCCATTGAATCACCAAATCGGTTGTGTCATTGTACTAACTATATGGAAATGCCTCTTATAACCACTTCACAAAAAAATTTGTACAACAAAATTTGCTCTCGAGAGGCTAGAAATATCCTAGTATTCCGCTCGTTTCGAGGGTTTTTTAGGCCACGCTCAAAATTCTACATATCTGATTATTATTTCCAAGCCAACATGTCATGTGGTCTTTTATGGGCAATTTATAGAGCCCAATACACGTGTTTCTGCGTTGACAGCCTCCTGAGTTGTGCAATACCCTTCGACTTTGCCGCTCTTCTCGAGGGTCCCCTATACCCATACATAGAGTATGCGACGACGAACAATTTGCACGTGTCTTCAAGTGAAATAGATCACTAGATCGACAGTGTTCCTCCAGTTTTATCTGACTACAATCTATTATTGGATCATCGGTTTGCGTTATTGGCTCATTACAGATAATCGGTGTACTAAATGTGAAGGATTTACTTTTAATTGATGATTCACTGGACATCCATGTCGGGATGGTCATGCAGTTGTGGAATAGAAGTACTATGGTAAGCAATAGTTGTCATTATTTCCTTGTTCAGTGCTACTTACGGGTTCATACTTATTCCAAATCTATTTTAGGTCCTTTTTTCATTGTTTTGGTGACCTTTTTTCATTTTCATAATATATGCGCCGTGCTTCACCGATGTTAGTCAAGCCATTGTCGAAAAGGAAAATTGCGAAAACTGACTCATATGAAGCTCATACTGTCTCGCATTAACCCTGTCATTATGTAGACTACATTCTACTGTTTCTCCAGTTGTACTTGAAATATTTGTGTCTTTCCGATCTCATGGTGTAAAGCAGTACTACAAGACGTTATTCAGACGATAGACAGCGCTGTTTCAATTTTTTTTTGATGGAAAACTACCTGTCCCTCTTTATTCCACCACCTTCAACCTAGTAGTTGGGGTTCGACTATTCTGAAACATAACGAAGTCTAAATCACATTTATTTATTTATTGTAGTGAAGTAAACTTCAATGTTGGAGTGGATTTTTGAAACAACGTTTGTCATACTAGTATGGAAATTTTTTTTTCCAAGGCAATGAATGCGTTTTTGACGGGCTGGGGATTGGTGTTATTTTTCTGAGATCATGGTATTGAGTTCAAAGTTGAATGATGATCGTCGGCAGAGATAAAGTGCGAATGAGAGAGCATGTCCCTGCCACAAATAAATGGAACTTTTTTCCAGTTTCGTTTTGTCAGTTCCGAGACACCAGTCGCACAACTGATGCTCGAACTGAAGAAAGGTTTTCCGCTAGCGATTGTTGTCGACTATCATCACGATAAAATGAACTATAGTGTAGTCGGCATCGTGACTTTGGAAGACAATTTAGAAGAGGTCAGTTCCGAACTTCTATCTTAAATTTCTTAAATTAACACAAGTAGGCAACAGTGATGCGATCTATATGATAAGAGCCTGTACGATACCATCGATAGCAATCAGTTAAGCATCACTCACTTCAGTACAACAGTTGAGGCCAATTTCAGCAGAACGTACTACAGGTGTGGTAACCTGCTGCGAGGGTAAGCGTAGGCTGCAAGAAAGAACGTTAAGCAAGCTGATGCTTTCCTTTCCCCAATAACATAAAAGAGCAGGACAGCATATGAAAAGTGTGACACAGTTCGTCTTCTTTGAATGGGCAAGCGGACTAGACCTGGCGGCTTTGGTGGGTGAACGAGACTAATAGGGTTTAAAGGTGTGAGCTCAAGTTTTTAAACGTCAAACAAAGATGTGGCAGTAAATAATGCCTTTGAGGACAAAGCTCCGTTTTGGAATGTTCACATCAATTACATCAATGATGATTGATCGCAACATCGAGGGTGAATGACAGACACAGTTAGCTTTGAGCAATTCTTCCATAGATGCACAGTCCGCTTGCCCTTATAAAATGACTTATGCTGACCTACCAATGTATCAAAACGTTGTTTTATCTCTCAGACAAGCTTGTCTGTAAATCTCCAAAGACTTATCTCGGATGGACGGAAGGCATAATTTGTTCGGTATGCGGTAACGATCCAATAACTATGAGTGATTACAAAGCACCTCTAACCATGATACGCGATGCATAAGACCGTAAAACTCTGCTTTCTTCACTTTCCAGGTGATTGGTGAGATCTATGACGAAAAAGATCTGAGATTGAAAAACAGGTCAGTCGAGCAAATTGATGAAGTACCGGTCGCCGACACGGGTGCTGTCGTGGTCCCTGATGGAGTGACGGTAAAACTATCCAAGAAGAAAAGATATACAGGAATAAGCATAGAGGTTAGTATCATAGCTTTACGTATGGAGAAACGAGAATCAAAGTGGCTACCTAGAATGGTTTTTCACTGTACCTAGAGTGTTTTATTAATCTTATCCAAACACTTTGTGCATAGAAGATGAAACACAAGTTTATAGTATGAAGATGTTGATAATATATGTGTCAGAGCTTTGGAATCAACTTTTATAATTCGACACATTATAAATACAAATTTGACTTCTGATTCTTTGCATGTAAATTGTCTACTTGGAGAATTCAGATAACCGTATTTTCATTATATGCTCATCACTGCATTATTTTTGTGAATTTATTGGATTGAGGAAGAAGTTCCTTAACACGCGCAGAAAATTCAAAGTTCACATATAAGTTTAGTTGAAAGTAAAAATGAATATTCTCTTCAAAACAAAGACCGTAATTATCCACGATCTTTTGTCAACGATCTGTAAGCTTCTGGATCTGATCGAAATACCATTCCTTGGGCTTTGAATCAACGAAACTCCTGACATGTCTCTTCAACATGATCAAATGCCTTGAAACGGCATACACGCAGGAAATGTTCTAGTGAGCGGAAAAGACCATAACCGGACGGCGCATTATCTGGAATGTAGGCTGGGTGTGACAAAACCTCGACTCCCTCCAATATCAAACTTTTCCATAGTCTTCTGTGCGCTGTGAGGTTTGCCATTGTCTTACTGAAGCAGCATAAATTTACAGTAATCAGACACTGTGAGAAAAAACATAGGTTTCGATCTTTCTACGGATATCAAGAACTTTTCCTCAACTTAGTATATTGCATCAGATTTTTTACGCCACGTCAAACTCATAATGTTCTATTCTATTCATCTTTTCTTGAATCAACCAGAAATCGTTTTATTTACTGCCACTTGCGGTGTAATGGTGTTGCAATATACTCGATAACGTAGAGTGGTGTGCAAAATCGTTTGCGTCAGCCGGGATTCAAACCCAGATCACACACTTTCTGGGAGCGTATGCTAACCGTCGCACCACCGACTCTCGTTTTGGACAGCACTTTTCCTATGCTACAATGCGTTATCTGTCAACAGCCCTGGAGGGGCAGCGGCTATCGGCATTGAACCCAATCATGCTGGCAGACATGGTATCAATAATCAATCGAAACTCAATTATTTGGCCACCTCTTGCGGTAGTATGATGTTGCAATATACCAATATAATATAAGTGAGTTCAGTGTCGATAGTGACGTCCCGCCAGGGCTGTTGACAGATAACGCATTGTGACGTCGAAGAAGTGCTATGCAAAACGAGCGTCGCTGGTGCAACGGTTAGCAAACGATTCCGGACAGAGTGAAATCTGGGTTCGAATTCCTGCTGACGCAAACGTTTATGCACATCACTCTACATTATTAGGTACATCTTTTACAAAACTCATTATGCCTTATTGTGCAGTGTCCAGCAAATCCTACATTCGATTCACTCCCACACATTCATCATGTACCAGATTTCTCGAATTTGAGTTGCTGCTTGAGGGTTTTCCATCTTCCTTATGAACGCCGTTGAAGCTGGTTGAGTCAAGTTTCCCGAGGTTTTAGGATATCTAGGCTATGGCGACCCCGATCTTCATCGAATGGGGTTATCCCCAATAAATTTGGCACCGATATCCCGGGCACTGAATACACTAGGAGCTTGATTGCTCAGAGATGAATTCTAGGGATACTCTTGCGGTCATTGGACGGGACCACTACTACTGCACTACCCGTGCAGCTGATATTATGTTTATAGTTCAATTTTCTGTTATAATCGTAGCGGTTTGTAACGTTAGATACCCCATTTAATAGAACTTTTATGTATCACTTAGAATACGAATTTCTTCTAAAGCATTGATTTTAATGCCCTAGTGTTTACAATACATTCTTAGAAATCTTAACGCACTTCTGAGCACCTTCAGTAAAAATGCTCCTCTAAGACGTTTTCAGAGAATACATACTCGTTTTTCATGGTGATGTTCTCGATTTAACCTACTCTGCAGTAGACTTATATTGATTTTGCACTCTATGAATACCAATACGCCACCAATTCTCCTGTGGAATAACTTGGAGTCTTTAAGTGTTTTGTTTAAGGAAGGCGCGGATGAACATGCTCCGCTTCTGACACAAGGAGTTGCAACCTCAGTGAAGAAAATAAAAAACCCGTGAATAGAAAAGATTTTTTAGTATTTAATTTGTTGTGCTATTAATTCCAACAATTTGAAACAAATTTATATGTTGGTGTTTGACTCAAAGAAAAAAGACTCGTTTCAAGTAACGATAATACAATTTTTAAGCTAACTGGAAATCTCCTTCTGTGAGTTTATTGCTAAATAAGTTTATTTAAAACTTTCCTTGTGTGGTGAAAGTAAAAAAGGATTAACTGGAAATTGATGGCAATCAGTGAGATTGATAGTATTCGATTTTTAAGATTGCATTCGCTAACTACTGATTTTTATCTGAGAATTCTAAGTGATGTATAAAGTTCTGAGCCTCAAGCAGAAATTGGCAGACTAAGCCTGTTGATGATGAGTTGCTGACAGCTGTGATATCTTATATATTGCGGAAAGAATGATAATAGAAGAAAGTCGGAAGTGTAGTGGTTAGCACGTGGCCGCGACGACGTTCGAAATTGGGTTCAACTCCTGCCTGAGATTTCATACTCCACGATTGTATCATCAGAACACTGCCACAAAAGCGGCAGGATAAAGAACTCTTGTTATTCATTGAGTTTGAATTTTAGTGTTGGTCACTCTGATGACTTTATTCAAGTGACACAGATCTGCTTACTAAGTTCTGCTTTTTTCTCATTTTGACACATTTAGAAGAAGAACCCTTTATCATCATACACAGTCAGGTTGGCACAAAAGTAACTGCGATTTTAGGACGGCTGCCCTGGTGTTTTAGTGGTAGCACGAGCCCCTGTTTTGGCGAAACGCAGGTTCAACTCTTGCCACGCACTGAATGTCTTGCATATCACTCAATTTCACAGTCTCAAGAAAGTTTACCTACTGTTATCATGGGCCCTATGGTTTCAAATAGTCCCCAATGTGTTAATAAACCAAGAAAAAATAAGTTTACTAGATCGATGTGGGATGAAAGACGGTTTATTGAAACATGGATAATAACTTCGCCAGTATTAGTTACAACAAAATTTGAGAACGTCATGCGAAGACTAAAGAGATTAAGTGGAAAAATCGATCATAAGTATTTTTACTTAACTTTTCTAACGAATTCGCTTGCTCTTATGATATTAATCACTTAGCCTGCAAGAAGAATGCTAGCCTCTTTTAACAACTACTTTCAAGTTCGTTCCTCTGATGATTCTCAAGAAAATGGAATCCATGAAAGAGGATTCGTTTCGGACGTCCATTATGCCTCTAATTCGAAGGCCCGGTGCCAACTTTTTGATAGTAGCTGGTAATTGATCAGAAACGAGAAGTCGGCTCGCTTTTAACCAGTTTGAAGTTCAGTTGAAGCTTTTCAGACCGTGTCTAATTTTCGAGGCAACCCTCACCAAGTAAATTTTTAGAGTGCGCTCGAAATGAGTATTGAACTCAAGATTACGGTCCGAAACGCGCAGTATCGTTTATATCAAATATGAGGCATGTTCATGAAGGAAAATGAAAAATTGAACGCGTTATTCTTTTTAGGTGGTCCGATATATTGCGCATATCACAGATTTGGGTGATTAAAAAAACTCCTATCCATCATCCACGAAGGTCCTTGGTTCACTTTCTCATATCCGTCATTCAAAAAGGCTTTCAACATTTTTGCGTGCAGGCTCAGTGGCTGCTCTAGGATTCCGGATTCCTTGTTGATATGCTGTTAAATTTTCACCGAATCACTCTCAAATTCTGAAACAACCGTGCTATAACATTCTAAGATTTTCCACCGCAATCAGTCATACGCCTTTCTGGAATTAATCTTGCAACTCCAGAGGAATGGGAGATCTAGTCGGCTTGCGGTCAGATCGAGATGGGAATATGTTTCAAGTTGTATATGAAACTATGGTATCTGCAAGCAAAAAAGCTCACAGAATCATTAGGCTTCCAGGAGATGTTACAAAAATACAAACTCTGCGCAGCTATCCATTCCCGTATTACTTCTACTTTTCCTGTGCAACCGAGAATTGCCTTACCCCAATGGTATCAAGCAATCACATGAATGGGAGAGCATTTCTCGATTCCGTTATGCAGCTATGCGCATGGGTTCGTCACTATGCAAAATCTTCCAAATTGAAAAGGATTTCGTCAGTTTAGCGCATGCACAGCTAAGAATCAAAGTCGCTGCCATACTAGCAATAAAAAGTCTCTAATCGGCGAGTTGTTATGACCGTAGAAAGCTAGGCTTTTTGACAACCGAAGGAAAAATTTCCTTCTTAATGACGCTGGAGCATATCGTTTTACCTTGGAGTCTCAAATCCAAGCTGCTAAATCTCACTACCGCTTGAAATGCGAGCCTTGATGACGAAAAGCGAAAATAAACAATATATGTGCTTTTGAAAATGAGAAATTCCTCCCTATAGAATAAGATGACCGAAATATCGTTGAAGTAAATCTGTAAATGCTGACATTTCTAAATTAACCCTTTCGGGACGGATTGTATTCATTTGGAGACACTACTTTCTGAAAACACTTCTCCTTGAGAAAAACACTTTCCCCAAAGTGTGGCAATCGTTGGAAAGCTTAAGCCACGATTATTTTAGTAATGCATTTGAGTCAAGAATAGGTTTTTGGTGCAGCGCAAGAGAAAAATAATACTATTTTTCACATAGAGTCTGATTTATTCGCTCTACTAAGGTCTTTGGGTGAGTTTTCGCTGAATTATTGATTACAATCCAATGACCCAAATCTCAAAAACTTTGGTATTGAACTACTTCCTGAATAGGCTTATATAGAGCGCTGTTCAAGCGAAAAGAAGATAACGATCCATAGTCGGAAAAGTCTGCGAGTCGTTTGAACATCATAGCAGATTTATTTGACAATGTGGAGTAAAAAAAACTTTGTACCTCTAGAACGATACAACAAAACCCCTTCTACACTCCTGATAATAAAAACCGAAATTTTTCCAAAACGGGAAAAAATTCGTGAGAATAACGAAAATTGCGTGCCTCTTGAACGACACACCCCTTCGAAACGGTGGTTGAAACCGCTGCGCACCGCGTTATTTAATAGACGCGCAACTTTCGTCATTTCTTTGAGACTTTTTTCTCCGCCTCGGAAAAACTTTGAATTTCTTTATATTGAAATGGTAGAAAAGACATTGTTTTATCGTTCCAAAGACACAAAAATTTTTTAGCTTCATACTGCTAAATAACCCCGCTTTTAAGTTCAAGCGACGATCTAACTACTTCGTGTGCAAAACGTAATCTTCTTTCTCCTCTAGCAGCGCTCTAATGTAACCTTTTCAAAAACCAGATTCGACACGAAATTGTCAAAATTTGTGTATCAAATGACATCCAACAATCCAGCAAAAAGCCACCCACAGATCTCACTCGAGAAAAGTATAACTGACTTGATGTGAAACATGATACATTTTTGCCACTACATCGCAAAAAGAATTTTCGTAAATGAAGTATATTATTGAAATTTTCGAGATTCACGTCTTAGAATAGATACTAAGAGTTTGGGAAAAAAAAACTTTTTTTTAGCAATAAAGACATTCAGAAAATTGACTGCCCAAATGGATACACTGCTTTCCGGATGGGCTACAACAATGCTTTCTGAGAACTAAGAAATGTTGCATTAACATTGAAAGGCGCAATTATTTTCGTCTATTGAGAATACCTACAATGTCCTTTATTATTCACGGGCTAATAGAAAGTATCAAACTTCCTGATTTTTCTGTCTACTTGGAAAAGTTGAAATGATGAAGCACGTAGATACCTAACTGGATGTGCCGGTTCCCTGGTCTAACTAACGTTACGAAATTTGAACGCTGCTCAATGAGGATGAAAAAGCGGTCGGCCTATCAGTTGACTCATCGAGAGAATTGAAGATGTATATTATTC